TTTCCCTTCATCCCACCTCTTCCTTCTTTTTTCCCATTCCTTGTCCTCTGGAAAGGTGAAGAGAAAATATTTGATAAAAGTACTCATTCATGATAAAAATTCACAGCAAACTTAGCACAGAAAGGAACTTTTTCTACTCGATAAAGGGTGTCTCTTCCATGCTCTCAGCAAATACAATACTTAATGATGAAACCTTCATAATAATTACTTTGTAATTCGGAATTAGACTATGGTACCTGCTATTTTAGCTTGTAATCAACAATATACGGGTAGTCCTAGCCAGTGCAATAAGACAAGAAAAACAAAAAAAGCTGTAAGGTCTGGGAAACATGCAAAAAGATAGTTATTCAGAAAATACTGCCCACACAGAATACTCAATGCCTTTTTCTTTTCTTTTTTTTTTTAAGATGTTGGGGGTAGGAGTTTATTAATTAATTAATTAATTTTTGCTGTGTTGGGTCTTCATTTCTGTGCGAGGGCTTTCTCTAGTTGCGGCGAGCGGGGGGCACTCTTCTTCATGGTGCGCGGGCCTTTCACTATCGCTGGCCTCTCTTGTTGCGGAGCACAGGCTCCAGACGCGCAGGCTCAGTAGTTGTGGCTCACAGGCCTAGTTGCTACGCAGCACGTGGGATCCTCCCAGACCAGGGCTTGAACCCGTGTCCCCTGCATTAGCAGGCAGATTCTCAACCACTGCGCCACCAGGGAAGCCCCTGCCTTTTTCTTTTTTGTTTCATTTTTTTAACCTCTTTGGTGAGATGTCGTCCTGCCCTGTCTTAAAATTGCATGGTGAGGGTGGTGTCTGCACTTGAAACAGGACACTTCATTCCTGGGTTTAGCAGTGTCCTTGCCCAGCTTAGTCTGGCAGCTGAGTCGTTGGATTAGGAAGCTTCTGCAGGTTGTGTTCTGTCATCTCTCTGTAAAGCCTGAAAGCATCCCTCTTATTGCATTTGCTAGTTCTCAGTAGAGGTATTTAACTAGAATCTGGAAACATTTTCCCTGCGGCTCCTTTTAGACAGCAGTAAAATGTAGCTCGAGACATACTGAGTAAATGGAAAAGAAAAATCAAATTAGGCCAAGAATTTTTTTAATCTCCTATTCTCACTGAAGCCCTCAAGGAGAACACCATAATTCATATTTGACTCATGTGGGTCAGGCATAAAGCCTCCTCTATAGATTCAATAACCTGTAAATGTTCTGGTTGTGAAATTGCACCTGCCCGCTTTGCTGGATCAAGCACTAAATCATGCAGCAGTGGTTTGTTTTGATTATTCATTACTTGGGAATGTCAGATTGCCAGAGAGCAGCCCAGTGTTTACTTCCAAATGGGCAAAGCCTTGGGAAAGGAGTTTTAATTACAATCTCATGTAGCAACACTGCACACAGCTTGCAGAGGGGCCAACATTTGCACTGTGCATACATCTTATAGCGGTGCAGAAAAACACCCATCTGACCGGCTCATGTAAAATGGGCAGCAAAGTCAGCAGAACCTTAGAAAAGATGACACAGCAAGTGGAACAGAGCCGAATCTTCCCTCATCCTGCCAAGCATGCAGGGCTCCCTGCCCCTTTTTAAAGCAAGAGAAGCCAATTGGCGTTTGCCCTTCAACTTTCCTAGTTTGATACAGAATTTGTGACCTAGCAGATTTAGCCATTAATAAAACAGAGACCTAGGAGTCAATGGGCTCTGAGGAATGTGCAGGATTATCTAAGACCAAGTCCTGATCCTCTAGGAAATCGCCCATCTTCTCACTTGCTGCAGTGCAGTTTGTGCCATCAAAGGTGGTATATCACAACTCTGGCATTTCCAGCCAAAGCAGGAGCCATTCAGGGGATGCTCAAGAGGCTCTGTGTGTGTGTGTGTGTGTGTGTGTGTGTGTGTGTGTGTGTGTGTGTGTGTGTGTGTGTATTCAGTATGCCCGCTGGTAATGGAACTCTGACGTAAAAAAATATTTTAAAAATCCTCCTCTAGGCACAGATACTCAGGAGCCAGGCACTGAACAGGGAGCATCCTTGAAGGGCACTGTCACCTGGAAGCAGAAGGGCTATTGGATCTTTCTCTTCAGCATTTAAATAATTGTAATGCGATGTCTCTCATGTTGAGAGATTCATCCTTTGCATTTTGGAACTAAGCCTTCCCAGTGTTTGGAGAGTTTCCTGCTGTCTGTTCAGCTCAGCATACCAAGAGGCTGGAGAGGTACCCGGCAGCCCAGATTCATTCTCCATCTTGGAAGTATTTGCTTCGAGAAATCATGAAGTCACTCCTGGCCACGTTGTGGAATTGTTTTGTGCTTTTTAAAAAGCCTTTTAATTTTTCTATTTGAATGCCAGAAAGGTTGGGTCTGTTTCAGAGAATGCTTCTGATTTCTGAGGCTGGCAAGGGCATAAACTGACATGAGAGTTTCGGGGCAGAACTCCAAATTCAGGCAAGATTTTTCCAAGCACCTACTATGTTCACAACACCCTGCAGGGGTATCCTGGAGAATCTGAAGTTCTGGCTTAACTCTTAAAACTTTGAAGGCAATGGCTGAAAAAGAAAGATGAGCATCTTGAGACTCCCTTTGGAAATGATTGAGTTTTGCCACAACCATTGGCAAGTTTGGTTTTTTCCATCAAAATTTGGTGTCTTCATGTGCTGTCAAGCATCTCCTGCAGGTCAGATGGAGCTTAGGAAGACAAGGGTAACTGTTCTCTTTGTCTTTGGAAAGTGTTTTGTCTGTCATCTCTCTCTTTTCCACAGCCTGTTGTTTTTATTTATGTAATTCTCATCTGCAGAGTCATTGGTATGGGTAGGCTCCCCTCATCCATCAGCTTGGTTTGGGGTAACTTGCAGATTTGCATGTTTTATGTGAAGGTGATTTTCAAAACTTGTGGCTATGTATAGTATAAAAACTGATGTTCATGGTAGGGTTTTCTCTCTATACGTTTTCTTTTGCTGTCTGGTTGTTATTTATAACTATTAATATGTGCATTTCAAATATACTGTAGATACAAAGATGCTTTGTTAAGAGCCTAGCAATAGAATAACTTCTTTAAACAATATTTTTTTAATTTGGTATACTTAAAAAAAAAAGATTTTTTGTGCTTTAGAAAAGACATTGCATATTAGAAATTTGGAGAGTGGCTTCAGGTAAGTTGGAGAAAAGGTTTTTTAAAAAGATGAAACCAGGGCTTCCCTGGTGGCGCAGTGGTTGAGAGTCCGCCTGCCAATTCAGGGGACACAGGTTCATGCCCCGGTCTGGGAGGATCCCACATGCCGCGGAGCGGCTGGGCCCGTGAGCCATGGCCGCTGGGCCTGCGCATCCGGAGCCTGTGCTCCGCAGCGGGAGAGGCCACAGCAGTGAGAGGCCCGCGTACCGCAAAAAAAAAAAAAAAAAAGATGAAACCAGAAGCATCAAAAGACAACTGCCTGACAAGGTCATTGGATGGGAAATCTGAGGCAGCTTTTCTCTACAGGAGGGGTTGAAGAGAATCATGCTACTTAGTGGAAGCCTCTGATTCAAAAGCTGGCAGATATATTTGGGGTGAAGGGAAAGGAGAGATCCCTGCCCATTTGCTGTCCACTCAGAGGCTGCTTCTGTTGACATCCCTCTGCCATTTCTCCTTCCCTGGCTCCTAAGCCAGGTCACCTCCACACAGCTGGAGTGAGACAGAGCACTGTTTACATTCCACAGATCAGTGTGCAGCCAGCAGCTTGTGGAGTGGGACATTGACTGTATAGTGGAGTTATGTTGTCTTCGTAATTGACCTTGACATTTTCCTTTCCTTTTTTTTAACCCTACAGGAGCCTAGTAATAAACGAGTCAAACCTCTTTCCAGAGTCACATCCCTAGCAAACCTCATCCCACCCGTGAAGGCCACACCGTTAAAGCGCTTCAGCCAAACCCTGCAGGTAAGAAGGACACAGTGGGCTCATGTTTGCAGAAAACCACCCTGTGTGGGAGGAGCCATCCCTGTCCTACCTAGAACCTCCCCTGTTTTCAGATTGACATGAATCGATGCTTATTTCAACAGAAGAGAGCAAGTGAGGGGACTGAAAGGAAGAAAGAGATGTTTTCAAGCTGTAAACTGGTGTCAGGCAGAGTCCCTCAAGGTGTAACTGGAGGAGTCATCTCTGTTGGGCTCCTCACAATTATATTTCACAGTCCTATGCCCCATCCAGATGCGCTATCATAGGTTTTGTCCTAAAATATCTATGGGCCTCCCAAGGGAACCAGCACATGATGTAAGTTGGAGGGCAGGAGAGCCTAGTGATTTAGACCAGGGTCTGCAAACTATAGCACGTGGGAAAAAACTCAGCCCACCCCCTGATTTCTTATGGCCCTGGAGCTAAGAGTGGTTTTTACTTTTTAAAATGGCTGGGAAAAAAATAAAAGAGGAATGATATTTCATGACCCATGAAAATTATATGAAATTGAAATTTCGGTGTCTATAAAGTTTTGCTGTCTATAACTAAAGTTTTGCTGGAACACGGGCATGCCTAAATGTTGATGTGTTTTCTGTAGCTACCATTGCACTACAAAGGCAGAGTTGAGTAGCTGTGAAAGGGATCATATCGCCCACAACACCAAAAATATTTACTATTTGGCCCTTTACAGAAAATGTTTGTTGACCCCTGACTGAGAACAAGGGCCCTGGAGTAGAAGTATATCACTTCTGTCCTTGGCTCTGTCACTCAAAGACTTTGTCACGTTGGGCAGATAACTTCATATCTCTCTAGGTCTTGCTTTTATTCCTCATGGATACATTGGGGGATGATGCTACCAGCTCCTTTATAGAATCCTTGTAAAGATTTACAGGATAGGGCTTCCCTGGTGGCGCAGTGCTTGAGAGTCCGCCTGCCGATGCAGGAGACGCGGGTTCGTGCCCCGTTTCGGGAAGATCCCACATGCCGCGGAGCGGCTGGGCCCGTGAGCCATGACCACTGAGCCTGCGCGTCCGGAGCCTGTGCTCCGCAAATGGGAGAGGCCACAACAGTGAGAGGCCCGCATAACGCAAGGAAAAAAAAAAAAAAGATTTACAGGATAGTGCATTTAAAGGACTTAGCATAGTGCCTTGGCCTGTAGTGAGTAATCACTAACTTCCTAACAAGCTAAGGTGAAAATATTAACTACTATAATAATTCTTTGGTTAACAGGTGGTTTGTAGTTCTTGTTTGTAAACTCCTGATAAAGTTTATCTTTTAAAGTGAAAATTGAGATATGTCTTAAGGCCTTGGGCCCAATATGATAATCATAAAAATCCTCTTGTAGACTGAGGCCCACGAAAGTCATGCCATGAAAAGGCTCACCTTGTTCAGCTGAGGAGTAGTCTTGTGTCTGCCAGTTTCTTACATGTCCTGAATACTTTTGCTTAGTGGTTTTTTTTTTTTTTTTTTTGCGGTACATGGGCCTCTCACTGTTGTGGCCTCTCCCATTGCGGAGCACAGGCTCCGGGAGCACAGGCTCAGAGGCCATGGCTCACGGGCCCAGCCGCTCCGCGGCATGGGGGATCTTCCCAGACCGGGGCACGAACCCATGTCCCCTGCATCAGCAAGCGGACTCTCAACCACTGCGCCACCAGGGAAGCCCCTGCTTAGTGGTATTTTTATCTTGACTTTCTGAGTCATTAAGAAAATTGTGGACCAGGGAATTCCCTGGCAGTGCAGTGGTTAGGACCCTACACTTTCACTACCAGGGGCATGGGTTCAGTCCCTGGTTGGGAAACTAAGACCCCAGAAGCCGTGTGGTGTGGCCAAAAAAAAAAAAAAAAAATTGTGGACCAGCACCCGAGGCTTATGTCCCATGCTATGAAATCTATGATTTGAGAACTGTTTGAAGTCTCCCTCACCCACTCCTGTCCTTGTTACCACAGCATTCGGCCAACGTGCCGTGACTTTGCACAGCCCGAGCTCTTCTCCCCACTTTCCTACAGGTGCCGGCCCTCACCAGTGCTAATCCCTCCCTGCCCATTCCTCTGTTAACTCTGCTAGTATTTCTCCCGAATGAACGCCTCATCGTCTCATTAGCTATGGGTTTGGCTCTGTGCTGGAATCTCTGGGCCCCTGGTTATCCTCTGATCCCCTTTGTGGGAGAATGGAGGTGAAAAAAAATAAGGTCGTCGTGGGGAGCCAGATGAAGGTCTTTGAAGCTAGTGAAGAAAAGTGTGTTCACCTTCTCTCCCCAGTGACCAGTCCCTAAGCCCTCTGGCCCAGTTCATCACAGGCTTCCACTGGAAGATCATCACTGCCCTAGCCCACATCTGGTCTTTTGCTGAGTTCTGCTTTTTGAAAATTCTTTAGCCTGTCTCTTACCATTTCACGCTTTCCTTCCCGTCCCAGTGGCTGTGGCTCAAGTTCACCGTAGTTATTTCAACCTCCATGTTGCCAGCCATCTCTTCCCATTGTCTCTCTGAGGAGAGTCCACCGTCTGCCCCAAGCAGGGCCTCACTCATTCCACTAGAGTTAAGTGGGCTCTCATCATGCCCCAGGCCCTAACTCCTGCCCTCACGTTGCTTACATCCTGGATAGAGTTGCCTTCTGGCAACTTTGTGGCCACATCTGGCCCTCGGTTGTGTTTTGTTTGGCTGCACATTGTTTTGAGCTAACGTTTAGAAATCAAAACAGTCCACGTAAGAATCTGGACTTCTGGCTTCTTTTGAGGAGTTGGAAGGCCTAGCAGTGCTGGGCCTGTGTTCCCACATGGCACTTAGGAGCTGCGCCTAAGTAGCCAGCCAACTGTCATCTACAAATGTCCCCACTTCTCCCAGTTTTCCTCCCAACACCTGGCCTCTTCACTCACTGCCATCAGCTTGCCTGGCCTGTAGACTCCATGTTTATGCTCATGGGTCCAGGGAGAGCACTGTCTATGCCTCCTCCCCACAGCCCAGCCCCGACTCAAAGCACAATGCTTTAAGATCTTCCATTGTCATACCTTCAAAATCTTTCCTTAGGCTTCCCAGGCAGCCTTTATTTCTTTTCTCCTGTTTCTGCCCTACACAGATCCCACACAGGGAATACTGCAGGAAATATTTGATCACCTTGCAAATTTGCATTGACCTAGAGAACTGGGACAGAAGGAAATCAAGCCATGTCTGAAATCCAACAGACTGAGGCCAGGCAAAGATGAGAAAGCCAGACGCGAGGGGGGGAAATCTGACAGGTGGAAATTGGTTTCTAAAACCTCAAAAAATTTTTTTGGCAAAATAGTTTTTTATTGTTTAAAATATGATAAATAGCTAATTCCAGGTTCCATTTATTGGACAGAAACAACCCAGTAGAAACAGAATAATTATTCATAATGGTTATGCACATGAACATAGAGAGAACTTGAACACTGTCTTTATGCTGTGAGTGTGTCCTTGGCCGGGGGAGTGGTCAACAAATGGAAATATGTCCCTGAGGTTGTATGCAGAGTTAGACAGCCATGTTTGCAGGATGACCTGCAAAGCACAGAGAATGCCATCTTGCCTCCACGTATCTCCCTGTAAGTCACCTTGGCACATACAGTGCAAGTTTTGCAGAATTATTTCCAGTCCTAGCATCCCAATGATTACCTCATGACTTTATTGCTTCCTTCCCCAGGTAGAGCGGGATAGGTGTTAATGTAGCCTGAGGAGCAGGGAGGATTGCGGGGCGGGGGTG